AAAATAATCATAAGTGATAACCAGGATGAAGGTTCTTCCAGCGACACAGCCTTAAACCAGGCAATTTCCAGCATTTCTGGAGACAAGATTCCCACCATTTACGTTTCCTCCCCAGCTAAGCCGGTGGGATGCCCTGAAACTCCAAAGGCCAACATGGATGAGGTGGCGCAGGCAGTTAGTGGATTACAAAGTTCTGAGGCATTTGCTAGTCCTCTGAGCAGCAAGGCTGGAGCAGTAACTGCATCTCCACTAACTGGAACGTCACAGGCCCAGCAGAGCTATATAATTCAATTACCCCTGGATGCAACTAACCCTGCCCTCCAAGGAGCCAGCTATTTCCTTGTAACAGAGCCCCCATCTACCGAAGCTGAAGGCAGACAGGTGGTGCTGCCTGCTGGTGTCTCAAACGGACAGTCTTTACCCACAAATCAATATGCGGTGACAACACCAACTCGCTCTACAAGTTACTCCACTGGTAAGAGACAGAAGGCTGCAAAACTGAGTCATCCCACAAACATTACATCTATAAGTGAATGTAAGGTAGTAAGCAATGTGCAGTGTGTATAACAACATACTTTTCCACATTATTGCACTGATTACAGTCCAAAATATTGAAAGTAAAGTTCTTTTGGCAAAAGATTGTAGGGACACTGTCGTTAAGCAATTTATTTATTTATTTTTGAGTTATCAATGGCAACAAGGCATGTCCATGTTTAATCTTTTCCCTTCACTTTCAATAACTTTCTCAGTATCATAATTATCAAACTATGACATCTGTGCTCCTGTTTGAAGGGTCAGCACTCGTCCTGCCATCACCCATGAAGCCCATGATGCTTCCTGTTTCTGTTGTAGGACCGAATCCTGTGGGGAAAGTGCAGATGGTGTCCAATCAAGTAAGATCATTTTATTGTTAGTCGGAGCATGTGGTTTGCGGTTAAAAGCATTTCCTTTCTTACCATTTTAACCAGAATGATGGAGTGAGAAAAGCTTTATTTCTTTATTAAATGAGACACTTTCAGACCAAATTGGCTGCTAAGTAAACAAAACTGTCCAAACTTTGCCACTCTCAGGTCAATGTGTTAACTTTATCTTGTGTGCAATGCAAACTGGTAAATAAAATGTATTATACATTGTATTTCAAAGGATAAACATACTCTTTAACCTTTACATACTGTTCATATTCTATGCTAGTATGGCTTGGGTCAGTTTTGACCCAGTCAAGTTTCTGTTCAATTTTGAATTGAAGATCTGTTTGATTATTGTTTATCCAAGACTTTCTGTAAGTAAGACATTCTGCTTCTACAAGGAGTCCCAGTTGACTTCACATGTAAACCACATTAACCCATTCATTGTTACATTTACAGCTTATTGCCATACAGAATCCTGTATCAGTAGAGCAGACAGAAACTGTCCCGTCCAAAACTCCCACCGTCGCAAGCAAACAACCTGTAGCTGCTGGTAAGTTAAAGGTTAACCTGCTTCTCCATGGTGAAGATGTATACTGGCTAAAAATTATATGGTATCCTTTTTTGAATGCATCTTTGCTCAGCATAATGTTTTAATTTCACGGCCTCATTTCTAAATTCCAGGCACTGAGAAAAATCTGGGCAGTAAAGAGGTTCAACCTGTATCAGCTGGAAACACAGACCAGCAGGATGCAGAAAAAGGTGCCAGTCACAGGAGAATTTTATGTTTTGACTCTTCTGCAGACATTCAACCACAAACTGCTAAAACAACTACAACCAGCACAGCCATGACTGCAACTACATCCCCATCACCATCTATCCAGCAGACTGAGAAAACTAATACAGAGTCGGTTGTTCGAATAAGACCTACTATCCTGGGTGGCAACAAACCCAAGAGGAGGGTAGAAACTGTCAGATGTTTAGCAAGTCCGCAGGCTGGAGTAAGCTTAGTGAAGGAGCCCTTTTCTTTACAACAGTACCAGAAAGATTCTGCTAAAAAGAGCTCTCGCAAGCAGGATCATAACACCCACAAGCAGGAGTCTCAAAGTGCCAGTACCAGCAGTGCTGATGCTTCAAAGGTTGAGGCTGGAAAAAAGTCAGAATCAGAAAAAAGATCCAAATCTGTTGCGAGGAAATGCAGTCAGGATGCACATAAAGATAACTCAAAACCTAAGGATTCGTATAACTCCAAGTCAGAGTCTGATTCTGCACTAAAATCAGGAAGTAGGAAGGACAAAGAGGAAAGCAGCAGGAAAGAATCTGCAGAGAAGGTACCTTTGAAACCACGTGAGGGACGTACAGAAAAGAAGACTTCCTCTCAGGAAATGCCAAATGTCACAGCTAACAAAGAGAATGAAATGAAGGGTAGCATGCAAGACCAACAACCTTCATCCTCAGCATCAAGAGACTTGAGCCCTCCAGCTGTCACTCAGCCAGCATCTCAGAGTCAGTCCAAAGTTACAAAAACACCGTCTAAAACCAGTTCTCTGGCTAAACAAGCAGCTGAGATGCTTCAGGACATTCAAGGGCTCAAATCTCCCGCGAATCCAGTCAAAGGGCTTGGTGTAAGCAGTTCAGACCTTCCTGGAAGTGGCAGTAAGCAGGAAGCACCTGCTGATTGTCCCAGGACTCCTCGACAGAAGGGAAAGGTTAAAGATGGAGAGGGTACTCCAAAGCATCTAATGCCTCCCAACACCCCAGATGTACCTGGCTGCAGCCCTGCCAGTGAAGCCGGCAGTGAAAACAGCATTAACATGGCTGCTCACACACTTATGATTCTTTCACGTGCTGCCATCGCCAGGACAGGCAGTCCACTGAAGGACAGTTTGCGTCAGGAGGGGATAGGAGAAAACTCGCCTACTAGCTCGAAGAACTCAAAGAAACGCAAGCAACCTATTTCAGCATCAAGCCCCCCTCCAAAGAAAGAATCAAAACGATCTCCCACCAAAAAGAAAGACCGAGTAAGTACAGCAGCATGGTTTTTGTCCAGTCTTTTTTTCCTCTTTATTTTGTATTCAACTCTTTTGTGTTTTGTTGTGTAGTGATTATCAAAGGTGTGTGGACACCAGATGAACTTCCATTGCGTATCAGTCCTTTTTACGTGTTTATTATTTATTTATGGAACCTAATCTAATTTACTAAATAAAGTACACTTTGTTATTATGCCCAAGTACTTCATAGTCTCTTCAAAATATGCATATTTGGTACAACATACACTTGCAGTATGATGAAGGTGGAATGAGGTGCTTGGGCAAATACACAGCCAGTTAACTGGGTCCTAACACCCTGGCATCCTGTGCGATTGCTGGTCTTGCTTGTTGGTAAGCTATGTGACTGTTTTGAAAGCGTGACAAGTTTCTTGCCAAATATGAGGACCACTCAAAGAATCTTGACACTGCACATCTTTGGATCATCCAGCATTAAACTTGCCAAGTGTAAAGTAGATGTTGAGTTGTCAAGAAAAGCAAAGCAAGTAAAGACAAACACATACACACGAAGGCAGATGTTTGATACCTTGTTCTGTCATAAAACTCTTATTTATTGCTTTCATTTTATTTGCAGGAAAGAAAGAAAATTATAGATTATTTCCCTGAAGACTTGGATGTGGATAAGTTCCTGTCTTCACTTCACTATGATGAATGAAACCGGACACGCCAGCAGGAAAGGATTGTCGTAACTTGTGTTACAATCCAGAAATAGAACAAGCCCTCTGATAACACAGTACATCTGGTTCCTGTTAATAACTTTGCCTGAGACATTAAAGTTGAAATGGATTTTTCAAAAAGTGTGGGAATTTTGGCAAACCCCCTTTCCTCCAGTGAAGGTGACATATCTTATGATCATGTTGCAACAGTAGCAAAGCAACCATTGCACTTTTGATTTTTTACACTTTTTACTCAGTAATGAACATGAGGACATTGATTTACACTCTGACTTATGTTGTGGAACAGTTTTGATTTTGGGCACTTTGGCAGAGTGGGTGTGTGTTGTTAATGGTCGACTCAAAGAATTGCCTTGGTCAATATTTGACTCCTTTGATAAATACTGGCCTATTTGACACCTGACAGGTCTGTATCTAAAATTACACTTTGGAATATGTTTCTAGCAGACATTTTTAAAAACACTGAAGTATAGCTCCTGTTTTTGAGTTGAGAAACATTTTGTTATTTGAAAAATAAAAAAACTAGTGTAAATATAAGTTTTAGTAGCATGAACATGTATATTACCTTTTTTCAGAATCAGATGCTTTGTTGAAGCTGTTCACATTTGTATACTTGGCTTCATTTTAATAAAACAAAGAAAATCATGCTTGTTCTTTTGTCTACATTTAAAGCCATACTTACTAAGTCCCTATAAAGACTAAAAGAACACGTGTTTTTTTTTTTGTTCAGTGTGAATGTTGTGTGAAGGCTGGGACAACACCACAGGATGATAAGGAAATCTGGAGCTCTAGAAAGTATAAGGTTTGTCAGTGTTGTCCTTTGATGGCTGAAAATGTTGAGGAAATCCTTCAAGGATGCTTGTGTCACATTTGAACTCTGATGTTCATAACCTCAGGCAGCCAGACTGATTTGTAGATTCTACTGGTGCCAGTGACGTTTAGGTGTACCGCGTGACTCAAGGTACATGCTAACCTATTGACCTTTCAGGCTTTGTCAGTGCTTAAAACTTTCCAAGACCATAGAAGTGTCACATATATGCGATAACATTAATATAGACCTGCAGGTTTATAGTGATAGTATAACAGTTACCACCTCCAACCCCTGTTTCGGCAGATCTGGCAACCTCCCATTGGACTGCTCCTCACAAGGAACGGAAATGGACTTTTACATCTATTTCACAATAAAAGTATTCGCTTATGAAGTGAAGCATGTGATTTCATCGTAAGTTATTATAATACTGTCATTACACCATGAATCGCTCCCACATTTACTCGGTTAATTAATTACAACATAATGTAAACAAAAACTTTCTACAGCCTTTTCCCCCCAGTGGTGCACAGTAGTGCTGGTTTTACTTTGACAGTGCCTGCGTTTGTTTCCGGGTAAAGAGGACAGGAACAAGGTACAGATGTCATGTAATTTTAACAAACATTCCCCTGTTTCTCTCCTGTGTAACGTGTGTCTTTTCTCATTACTACAACAGTATAGCGGCAACAAGTTGTTTTAGACGTTTCTCGGTGAGTAAGGGAACTCGTTATTGAGTTTAAACGCCTGATTTTGAGGTACAGACGTCACTAGCTCGGTCGTTAGTATTTTGGCTAGCCGGTTAGCATGTGGAGGGTTATGCACGTATTTAGCACCATATCTACTTACAGACTGACCTACGGAAAGACGACAGCTCACGTCAGCTGTAGCCTTCGCTCTCGTAAAGCAGTCTGTAATAGTTTCACAGTCGCCTCGTTGCTTTCTGTGCTATATCTCTGTCTTTGAATTTGAATGTCAGCTAACCGGCGTGTGAACGAAAGGTTCGCACTAACTGATAGTTTATTGGTTGACAGCTGCTGATAAGGAGTTCCAGTTTCTACACAATCCCTGCTGTAATCTCTTAGCCGTTCAGAAACGGGGACACAGGAAACTCCAACTCCTACTTGTCGTGCTCCTCTCTCGTCCTAGACTGCCTGACCTGCCAGACGGTGATTGACATGGCAGCTAATGGAGCAAGCTGTGAGCAGCCTCAGAAACGCGCAGGAGCTAAAGACAAACTGAATGGGAAATCCGCAGGTAAACTCTATCAGTTGTATCTGTTGTGTAACCTTTGACACAGAACTGCACCTATCACCTTATGGCATTCACGCTTTATAAACACTCACACTGATTCACTCTGGGTTATTTTCACTTTCCATAGGTGCAAACAAGTACATTACAGAGTACATGTATTATGCATTTAGCATTACCAAGTCAAGAAGTGGCAATAAGTGTTGTGTCTGTAAGTATTACAGAGTGTCAAAGTGATTTTGTTTCGTTTTATTCTCCAGACTTGTCGTTAAGAGAGAGGCGACAGAAGGATAAGGAAGAGCGCCTGTCTCTGGTGCTATGGAGGAGACCTGTTACCACTTTGCATTACTTTCTCCTGGAGACGCTCCTTAAGCTAAAGGAGTGGACGTTTAAGTAAGACATTAAAGGTTTTTCCTGGATTCTTTTTTTAAAATAAAGTTGTCTCCTGGTTGGACATACCCTGTGATTTAAGCTGCTGTATCAAAAAAAAGTACTTATGCCACAGAAGGTGGATTTGTGCATTTTATTGAGACCAGAGACACTTAAATTTAAGGGGGGAAAGAATGGAAGGGGATATGATTGTGTTTTCTTGCTTCCCGATTCAGGCTTTGGCAGCGGAGAGGCATCGTTTTCCTGTGTTTGGTGTTATGCTCTCTCTTTTCCATCGCATACTCAACTGAGGGAGAACACCAGCAAGTAAGCCTCGACTTGTTTTGCTTTCTTAGAGATGTTAAGAATCATCTAATCAGTTACTTTGTCATCGGCAAGTTTAAAGGTTAACGATGAGTCACTTTTTATCCTGCTCGAGACTTTTCCAAGAATAAACTTTGCATTGTGAGATAATGCAGTGTGCACTGTTGTCAGGTAACCCTTGATCATGTAGTCATCTGTCTGAATGTTCTGTTTACAAATTCATCTGTGCAACGGTCTGTCACGGTTCAGTTAAAACACTACAGTCCTTCAGGGCTTCCTAGAACCAACTGAGAATGGCGTAATCATTTACCTAGAACAGTAGGTCAAACATAGGAAATGAGCAGGGGGAAAAAAATAACCCAAGAATAAAGCAAATCTAAATATGTCAAAATCACAAATATTAATGTAAAATAAGGTAATGGGATCGAAAAACATATTGTTTTCATTGTAATTGTGCAGCAATAACTGTTAAGACAGAATTTCCCTGTAAACGGAGTGTAATGAATATTGGTCTAATGCTTTTTTAAATAAATAAACCAATGTAGAAACGCCTAAAAAAGATTAACTTTTTGTATCATTTATTGTAGAGGTGAGCAATGTGACACTTTTTAATTGTGGACAATCTGATTTGGGCACTTCATACAAAATACAAGGTACGGTATATGTTTTGCAAGAGCCAAATGAAGATTCTCTTTCTTATGTTTGCCTCATTTATGATTGTGGAGCCTTTCTCTTTGGCACATTTAAGTAAACCTTACCATCTTACTGGGAGTTCATGCATCGGTCGGACATTTATGGCATACGCACAATGTAACCTCAAACCACTCTGCAACTACTCTGAAAATCAGGCCTTAGACAGTAGCCACCCACTCTGTCCATCAGTCATTCCACATCAGCATCAGGAGAAGCGGCGATATGACTGATGGTGACTGACTTTTGTTTTCACTCTTTATAAACTTCACTCGATTATTTTTAAAGCTGACGTATAAATCATCAGTTATGGTCCAAATTTTCAGAATTCAATGGAAGCGAAAACAGGAAGTTGTTATTCAGGTTTTTTACACTTAAGTAACAGTGACTTCCTGTGTGTCCAGACAACACATGCAGATCTTATGTGATAAGAGTATTCAGCTAATCCTGAAGGGAAGATTTTCACTCAACTTTTTAGATTTTACCTTGAAAGATCATCATCTGATCTTTTAGACGCTGGTGACTACCCTGCCCTTCCCCTTGTCTGATTTATGTATATAGTTAATTTTCTTCACTTTTTTTTCCTTTGCAGTATGTTCAGTATCTGGAAAAGAAGTTCCTATGGTGTGCCTACTGGGTAGGCCTTGGGATCCTGTCTTCAGTGGGCCTTGGAACTGGTCTGCACACCTTCCTTCTCTACCTGGTAAGATAGCATCAGCCGTATGGAAATGCAGATGCAAAATACCTTTACTGAAGTAAAGGTAGATAACAGAGGCAATAACAATGACATGGTTTATATTTAGACTGAACAGGTTTTATATGCATAGACAACAGACCGTTTTAGGCGTGAAACAGTACTCACTGATATGAAACAAAGCGTGGCTACGCACCATTAGGAACAAAGTGTAGTCATAGTAGGAATTTTGAGAGCAGGGATAGTTGTGAGTCACTTTGTAAAATGGCAAAAACTTAAAAACATATATTGAAAAATATAAATTTAACATTTGCAAAAGGAGCAGGGAATACCTGTAAGCGAGAGTCATTCAGCTTTACCTGTCTGTACAGATCCTACTCCCTGTCGTTATTTTACAGTTCAGAATAAAGCTGCTTCTCCTTTGTCACACTATGGCAGGTAGCGCTACGTGTTTGATTTGAGTTTTACACCAGATGCCCTTCTTCATGCTGGAATTGAACCAGTGACCTAAGTGAATGTGTAAACCACTACACTGTGGGAAAAGATGTAACCATATTCCAAATTTGAAGAAATGTAATTTAATTCCACTTGTGTTAATCATTTCTGGTCTAGATTGAGTTAGCTGAGTTTTACTGAATACTGGCCTGACTAAAGGCTACAAAATGTAAAGAGAAATTGATTACCGACATTATCTGGTTGGTTATGCTCAGCATGGGTCAGAATATAATTTACCTTAACAGTTAGCGATTTTCTTACAAAAATGCTACATTTGCAGAATTCTGCAAAATCGCTGTCCGTTTGTTCCTGTACTCACCAGAGGATGGCGTCATAGTCCACACCGAGCCATGAGCCCTGTGTTTCTTCTAACGTCACACGTTTGTCACACGTCTGTCGAAGGCTTTGTGTGAGTGAAGTGTAATTTTCCCCTGACAGGCAGTCACAGAGTGACTGTCACACTGAGTCACCATGAACATGCGTCATTGGTCTTTGGTTGTGGCTAAAAGGAGAATTTAGCAAAATGAAAGAGAGGAAGAAATTCTCCACCAAAGTCCGCTTCAGGCTGATGATGTGGCTTCTGTGCTGCAGAACATGTGCCTATGTGGTTCAGCTGAGTCAGCCATTTCCATTATAATGAAATAATGGGAAAAGATGTAACTGTGACCTTCCCCTTTTTCTTCTTCTTCTTCTTCTTCTTCTTTTTTTTAAAGAAATGGTGTACACTCCCTCCAGTAATTCTTTACAGCTGTCTAGTGCTCTGCTTCTTTACATACTGTGTGCAACAATAATGACATAGCAGCAGTGGCTCGTGCCATATACTCTGTGTGGGGTTGTGTATTGTGCTTTTCTTTTGCAGTGAGAATATTAAACAGCTCTGGTTTTCATAATAACTTGTCCTTATGTACCAAAAGTCAAGTCATGAAACATTGTGTCTAGACCAAAAAAAAAGGAATTCAGATTACTCCACCGCAGAGGAGTTTGACTTGTTCCTCAAGAGATTGACTTCTTTTTTTCTTTAATCACATTACAGTAGGGATTTGTTTTGTTTGGATAATTGTTCACCCTTATTTCCTTCAACATCTTGCATTCATTTTCATAAACTGTTGGGCACTAAATTATTTACCTGCATGGCACTGGCAGCAGCACAGGACCTCATGTCTGCTTGTGTATATATAGGACACTTTTATAAAGAAGCATACTTCAGGTTTTATTTCCTTCTTCCTGGTCGCCAGACATGCTATGTAATACCTGGATATCTGTTGATTACATATGCAGTCACATGTGTCACCTGTGTGACCCACAGTGATCCAAGCAAACTGATATTAGGGTCTGGCACCCAGCAATTTAATTTTCTTGTCTTTAAGTGTAGCATAGGTTGCTTACGGTCTTTGCTGGTAGCTTTCCATCCTCTCATTTGGAGCTACTCTCCATCCTCCAGAGGTTTCATACCTACAGCCTATCTCTACCAAGAATTTTGCTGATCCTTCAGTCGAAGAGGTTCTGTAGGCTCTCCTGCTTATTTTATAGTTTATGATTGTGTCTATTTGTGGAGGTATTTGCCTACAGAGAACCTACAGAGAGGGGCTTTCATCCAATTCAACCTCCAAAATCCCAACTGTGTGTTGCTCAACGTGGATGATGCTTTACATTAGTCGAGTATGATTGACAGCGGCGTTAACTAGAAATGGGAGAAGCATGAACTCCTCATCAATCCATACTCACTCATTAGGGGGCCTTATCCCTTTATGTTTGGGAACTGTTTGCAGTTAAGCTCTTCTATAACACTGGCCTTATAGTTTGCCATAGGTTATTAGATTAAGGGCTTTTTCTCCTTAACTTGCTGTCCAGCAGACTCTCTGCTGCTGTTGTCACCACTCCTTCAGAACCACGACTCCAAACAGCTGATGAGAGAAGTCACTTGTCTGATTTGCCTTCTTTTGCAAGCCGACATGACAAAGATGCAGTGTCTTTACAACCAGGTGCACTTTCCCTCTGCAGGCCAAAGCCACGTGCATTTTTTCCATCTGTGGATGGTGGGTTGATATATGCACCTTAACTTGGGAGCAGGTGGTCTTAGTCATAGTTTTTTTTTATTTTGACAAAAATAAAATTTAGTTTTAGTTATAATTTAGGCATCTAAATTCTTTATTTTTTGAAGTTTTAGGCAACTAAATATCATAAGATTATCATAGAACAAATCTGAAGTTGATTTGGTTTACTAATTTATAGGGTGTGAGAAGTTTGTTAACAAAGCATCTTCTTTTCTTTGATATCAAATGTGAAATATGTCCAGATATCTTCTTTTCTCTTCTGTTGACGTTTCATGTTTTGCCGCGTTTTCATATGAAACGGAGGACATGGGAGGGCCCCACCACATCCTGTTATTCGGTGGTAGATCAAATTGTGCCCGCTAACCTTGCTGCACAAGGAGATTTCTTTTGATTGGATAACCTCCAAACTCGACCTGCCTCGCTAAACAAATGAATCAATTGTGATTGCATCTCTTTTCTCCAGAACATTTTCATCTGGTTTTTATTTGTCGATGACAGTGTCGGTATATTTCATCACAGTTTTTTGTCCTCATGCATTTGTTTTTATGTAGTATTGTCTTGTTTTTATCAGGAAAAAACAGTTAAAGAAAAATATCAGTAAACAAAATGAACACTGTCTCGGACAGAACTCTTCTCTCGTCCATATGTCCCAGTTAGGGCTCACGGTAAACTTTGTGTTATTTGACACCATGTCAGCAGATTGTCATCGGTGTCGGATTGTTTTCAAGGAATTGCCCACATTTGTACTGAGGCAAATGCCCTCATTTTGTTTCCTCCAGAGGGTGGATTACATTCTCAGCCTTTTTCTTGTTTTCAAAGAAGTTCAAGGCTCAAATTCAGTGTTTTCCTTTGGTTGCTGGGGAAACTTACAGCGGCAGCTGCAGTCATCCAACTACACCTCATTTCATCAACACCTTGGACTTCGATTCCAAAGAGGTACCAAAGCAGGTCAGTGGCAGTCTGGGCTTTCCACTGTTGTAGTATTCTTTTGGGATCACCTTCCCTCCAGGCCAAGAGGTGATGTTTACAGATGCCTTCCTCTTAGTTAGCAAAGGCAGTATGGAAGCACAGGACAGTGTGTAGGATCAGAGGCTGCTTCGCATCGGTGTGCTGGAGCTGTGGGTTGTATACTTGGCCCTCAGGCATTTCCGATAACACGTTGACCATGTATTGTATCAACTATCTAAGCACCAGGACAGCATGGAAGCTCAAGGGCTCCTGATATGAGCCTCACCTCGTGAGTTTTTCTTGAAAAGATGAGACTTTTGGAGACAACTTTGCCAAAACCTCTGCCGTTTCTTTGCTCCCGGTTTTGACTGATTCAACACATTTACCATTGCTGCTGTGGAGGTTTTACCTGAATGGTGATGCCTGTTGTTTAGGAGAATACTGCACTGATGCCATCAGCACTAGTATAAATGGGGACTTCCCTGTTTATGTCTGATAAGACTAAAGCGGCAAGCATAATGGGGCATAATGTAAAACGTCTCTTCTACCAATGACATTTTACATTACCTTGAAAGGTGTTCCACTGACTGACATCTGTACCACAGCTGCTTGGACTTCCTGTTGTACCTTCGCCCACTTCTGTAAAGTTAATGTTGCCATTCACATTGTGGGTACAACAGTTTCTTCTGGTCCTTCACTCCGCAACTGCACTGTGGTGAATGCAAACTCATCATGACCTTGTTTTATTGAAGTCATACCAATGAAGTTGATAAGTAATCGAATACCATCTCTTGCGGTCCGGAATAATGGAAGCAAAACAAGAGCTGGGAATCTAAGATTCTGTGAATTCTCTATCACCACCAGAGCACACCGGTGATTAATGAAATTTGCTGCGTACCAGATCCCTTTATTGGGTTACACGTGTAATTTTTATTTCTGTACCTGTTCATAATATACTAAACACGTCATCAGACTGGGTATTGGTCTTTTTCTCTGCATAGGTATGAAACTGCTGCATATGGATTGTTTATGAACTCTGTTCTAGTACTCTGTTCTGCAGAGCATGACACAGTGTATTGTGAAAGCATGATACAAATATGCAAGATAAAGTTAATTGCAACAGGATTGCCCCATAACTGTGGGGCAATCCTAATGAGTAACCCATCAAACGCTGGTATGAATCTCCTGCAATCTGTCAGCAGTGTCTCACATTCCAGCCCAGGCATCTATTTAGCTTATTTCACTTCATATATTGAATCATTCTCTCTTATTGGAGCTTTCGTCCTCTGCCATCTTTGTAATATCTTATATCAAGTCTGTTTGTTCAGGTTGTTTGGTTGGAAAGGATTCTTGTCCATTGACACATGGAATTATTGTTGACTGTCGCGCTCCCCTTGTTGCTTTCATTGTTTGTCCTAATTGGCTTCATTGAGAGTGCCTAATTCTCCAAATTCCTCTGATATTTTGTAATTTTTCACAGAAATGGTGAAGCATTCTTTACATTGTTGTCACTTGACGTGAGCCCACTGCTCATATGGAGATTATTTCCTGTCTCTTAGTTTGCTAAAGTTTAGCTCATGCTCTGAGTGCTTGTACCTTTTGAATCTGTCCACTCTGTTCAGTTTGATTTGTCTGGCATCATGGCATGAAACCGTTTCACTCCAGTGAGCGCTGCAGTAGACTTAAAATTGGCCAGTCAGCAAGCACCGAGTGTGGGACTGACACAGTTGTAAAGCTCTTAAGAAGTGTGGGTGATCGAGGGAATACCCCTGCACCACAAAAATAGGTTTAAGTAGCTGCGATGTTAGACCCGAGATGGAAACGGAGTGTGCCGTGTTGATAGATCTGACTAATTTCAGTCATTCACATTGCAGTAACTTCTGTCACACGTCTCTGTTCAACGTTAATACCAACCATAGGCGGAAAATGTGTAATATTGTTTTTGAAGAAAAACCACATTTCCCACCAGAAGAATTACACGGAATTTACTTCAAGCCTGAAGCATTAACACATGGCCACATAGAGAGCATGAGGTCACTGATCCACCGGGTGAGGGGAGTAACTCACCAGTATGAGCTTACTCTTCATCATGATGTTTTTGGATGTGTTGCCAAGCAAACACTGGGTTCTAGTCTTGCTTAAACGACTCATCCTCATGATGCCTGTACTTATACATGTCTGAATTGAGAATTTAAATTTTAGGAGACCAATAACTTAAATGAAAAGGGTTTTCATTTACGTCGATGCACTGCTTTGTCAGTTCACCCCTTTGGCAATCTTCTCAGGAATTTTTCATGATTAACTGAGATTGTTTCCCAATTTTTGGGTGAATTCATTCCACTTTCAACCAGAATCTCACATAATTGAACCCAAACACAGGGATATTTGAATGTTTGGCTTTCCCCATAAGTTATTGTGGTTGCTCATCATCCCTCAGGATTAAACATGACCACACCCGCTACCATCAGGTCAACATTTCACTGTAGGACTTTTTGCTTTTTAATGAAATTTGTTGAACTCGTTTACTAGGCCAGAGTTAAAAGTAACCTATGGCCCTTCCTGCTGCATCATATTCCTAACCACCTTTTACACACTGAATACCACTAGTGGTTTAAACAGAAAATAATGTCATGTATGTTTGTTCCATGCACAGAGGGTCTCTGTGCATGGAACAGAGACCTTCATCACTGCAGACCAGTGATGAAGCAAAGAACTGTTTGATAGATCCTGAATGACTTCTGTTGATGCGAATGAACAAAGAGAGCAGTGCTGCTACAGCTCCTATCAAACAAGCGTGTCTGAATGTTAAGAGCTTAGGTGTGTTTTCCTCCTTGGTAACAGTGTCTTGTTGTCTCACAAAGGGCTAATGTTAAATGAAGTCCTGCTTGGATGAAAAGGGAGTGTCTTGTGTAAACTAAAGAAGCCTCCTGTGTGCTCATACTCTGAGTGGGTGGAGAGTTACCATGATGAAGCATTTGCAGTCAGCACAGACTAATTGTGCGCTGTCCATCTACTGTCACTGTTGCCTGTTTCACCTCAAAGAAGCATAATGAAGTAGCTATGTTGTGGTTGCAGGTTGCCCAACTGTTACTGAGGCCAGGTGGCTCAACCTAACCGCCTCGACAGTGATAAGTGATGACATAGCTACCTGCCAGAGTGGCGGCATGACTCAGCTGCTGGTGCTTTGTGTTTGTTGCTTACAATGTAGCACTCGCAAGCTGTGTTTAACAATACAACAGCAGCTTAAATTACTGCAAACATTACTGCAAACTGCAGGCCACAAAAAGATCACAATCAACACCTTTTGGAAGGACTTTGAACAAAAACGACAACTTTAGTTGACGAGAGATATATTGCACGACTGCAATATGAAATATCTGCTCCTGTTTGAAAGGCTGAAGTTGACACAGACTAATAATTAAAATATAAAGAAAACCAATCTTTAGCCCTTAACTTTGCTGTTCGAGAGTCTTTTGAGTAGCCTTTTGCTCACACTATGACCTTACGTTCATGTTCTTTTGAGCATTTTTCATCATAAAGACAGTTGATGACCTCCCCTGTCCTTTTTAATGAGTTATGAGTCAGTGAAGATCTCTATCATGGATTTTTCCAAGGGTTGCCACATGGACAGAGACCACCCTCACTAACGTCTGATACACACTCAGTCATTTTGTTCTGTAAGCATGGCTGCAATATGATAGAAACCACTCAGTTCAGAAAGGAGCTTCAAGGGTTTCTCTTAGTGGGCTATCAAAGGAGTAAAGGGTTGATGTAACTTGGCTTATTTTCCATCTGTCTCGCTCCTCTCAGGGCCCTCATATAGCTTCAGTAACCCTGGCAGCATACGAGTGTGGGTCCACAGACTTCCCAGAGCCTCCCTACCCAGACCAGATTGTTTGTCCCGAAGATGGAGGAGTGGAGGACACAATCTCCCTCTTCTCAATCATGTCAAAGGTCCGACTGGAGGCCTGTATGTGGGTGAGTGTTAGCTTGAATAAAGATACACTAGAGTTATCCACCCTGACGCACACCAAGAATGCTTTTTCAGGGCTGTGTTGGTCTCGTTTGTGCATAAATCCAAAGTATATCTAATCTTTCACCAAGTAGTTTAATGCATAACTGAGTTATCGCAAACATAAAATGTTCTGTTTATGTTTAGGGTGCCGGCACCGCCATCGGAGAGCTGCCTCCTTATTTCATGGCCAGAGCGGCTCGTCAGTCGGGAGCTGATCCAGACGATGAGGACTACGAGGAATTTGAGGAGATGTTGGAGCAGGCCGAGGGTGCTCAGGTCAGAAGCACTTGTTTTCGTAAAGTGTTAGGTCCTAGGATGTGCACTGGTGTGAACATCAAGAATATTTAAAGATTAAAGAAGGATTATGCTCAGATATGCATTTAAATGTGCATATCCGATAAATGTGATTTCGAGAAGCCTAAAAAGGCGACATTTAAGTTATATCACTTATTATTTAATTGAGTATGGCTTCCATTTTTGTTTTTGTTTTTTTAATGCTTCTTTCCCGCTCACAAAAATTAGCCAGCGCTCCCTTATCACCCCTATTCTTGCTTCATTTCACGGGCTTCCAGTAAAATTCAGAATCCATTTAAAAATTGACAGGTCAAGCCCTACATGGCCGGGCTCTGGCATCTGAGACCTTACAACAGCAGCTGGCCTCTCAGATCATCTGATCGGGCTCGCTTAGCTGTTCCATGTTCCTTTTTTTAAAACCAGAGGCGATCACGCTTTTAAGGTTGCAGCTCTTTAGGCCGGCTAAATCTGCGGTTTGTTTTAAATGACTGCCGTTTTGTAGGTTAGCTTTTTCTTAATCTTTCTCCCATTATTTTTGGCTTTTGTTCACTTCTAATGTTTTTATGGAAGTGTGCATGTTGGCATGAAGGTCTGCGTGCTGGAACATGTATTCTTATTTTTAATGTGTGGTTTTATTCAAACTGTGAAGCACTTTGTAACAGTGTGTTTTAAAAAGCACTGTACAAATAAAGTTATAATTCTTTCCAAATAAGTTATATTTGGTTTGAACAGGGGCCCAAAGTCATCCAGCCTGCCTTGTACTGAAAGAGCAAAGCAGTTACACTCAATATTGGACTATCTATCTATACATCTGTTCGGATTTATTTTAATGTAGCTGCTTACACGGTGCCCACAGACTCAATACGATATGATCTTATTTAATATGGCTTAATTTCATAATGTGCAACTGACCACAAAGCCACTGTCCAGTGATTGGTCTCAAAGTGGCACGTGACTTCAGTGAAGCCCCGCCCTTCTTGCACTTCCAGTAAATCTGTGTGTTCGTGGGTGAGTCACCCTGAGCACAGCTCCCTCTTTAATCATCCCTCGGGCTTTGCTCTCTCGCTGCCTCCCTCCGTCTCTCTTTTCACCGGCCTCTAATTTGAATGACAGGCAGCGCTGTCAGGAACTGAGTTCACATGACTGGAGACTGCTGAGATCAGAGGCTGAGTAAGCAGAACAGAAATTAGAGAAATGGTGTCCATTGTCTCCATCACCTAGTCCCACTTCAGTGGCTCTCAGCTGACAAGGTCATCTTCACAGGGTGTTGTTTTGTTCAGGACATATACACTTAGGTGTGTGTCAGGGGCATTCTGAGAAGCACTGCAAAGACCCATTAACATAAAACAGTAATTGGAATGGATACCAAAGAAGAAGAAAAAAGACTGAGTGTGACAAAAATGGAAATGCATGTCCCTAAATGTGGTAAAACCTGCCTTTGTGTGCAGTGTTGTAGTATTGCAGTGAGCAAATTGAATCTGAGCAGACATGTTCGAGCTGCATCCAGGCAAGTGGTGAAAGGTTGGTTGAAGATGAGAAGAATTTGCTTGCATACCGCAGGAGGCAGTGCTTTAGAGTTGCTCATCCAATATCAGGAGAAGAACCATATATGATGAATTGATTTACATAAAAATGACCAAAACCCTGAGGAAGACTTGGAGTCAATACACGTTATGCCTGAATTAGCAGGAAATCTACATCGTTATTTATTTATATAAGGCTTGTGTTCACCCTACTGATGAGCACCTGTTTAAGCCTTTAGAGAAACATGGTGCTTCCTTTTTTCTGATGTTCTGAACACAAAAGTTTTTACCAAAAGTCTTATTATATCACCAGTACCGTATTTTTGACCATAAGGTGCACCGGATTATAAGGCGCATTAAACTTTACTCAACTCATTCTTCTTGCTTCCTCCACTTCTGTACCATTAATTCATTAATGTTGAATTCTCACGCAGCTGCTCTATTCCCATGTTGCTGCAGTATATCAATGACTAACCTCCTATTGTGGATGGATTATCTCAGTTGTTCTCCTGACTGAAGTTTGGTCCATGCTATATCATGTTTAGGTGGAAACTAGCGAGCTAACTTCCTGCTAACTTCTAACTCAATTAAATTTAATAAATCCTGTTTTCATGGATGCCTGCATGTTAAACTTAATTGTTACACCTGGTAAAGCAGCAACACTGATCATTTTATTAAAGATGAAAGAATTTAGACAGTTTTTAACTCTCAGTGATGTCGTAGTGACTTTGGGACCTGAAGCGGATGGAGTTTTGGACCCAGATTACTCCGTGAGGCTCCTGACTACGGTAGCCCTAATGCTCCAACAATCCATCAAGCAGTGCGGCTTCATAGCTTACCAAAATCATACTAAAACATTTTATGACATATTTTTGAGCGCCGTGTACCAAGTAAAACCGGTTTGAGGTCAGTAAGCACAACCAGAATTCATACATAATGCATGCACTGTCGATTTTTTTCAGAAAAGTTACGAGTTTAAGTGTGAAAAATGTGGTAATTGTTTCGGTGGGTGCATTATAAGCCTTATAAAGGGTAACAGCATTGAAGACTCAGGATGCAATTTTTATGAACGGTTGCACTGAAACGAACATGAAAAAAGGACTTAGTTTTTATCAACCTCGGTACTTTGGTGCTTTCTTAGTTATAGAAGATTAAAAACTAAACTTAAATTTGACTTTTTGTTGAAAATAAACACACATGGTGCCAGTTTTTGTTTTTTGGGGGGTTTTTTTTACACTGGCTTCCTGTGCCTTTGATGTTTTTCCTCTATCTCAGATCTTCACAATATAGCCGCAGATGTTTCAGCCTCTCAGAAAAAAACCAAAAGGTCCTCTGCACTTTTGTACCAAATTCACCAAACCTCAGAGAAAGTCTTAAATTGCTCTAAAATAGCAGGTATCAGTACTCTATTGCTCCTTGTAATAACACTGGAGACGGTGGCACTGTTAAAACATTTGGTTTGGTTTAAAAAAAAAAAAAAAAAAAGTACACACATTTGCAAAAAGTACAGAGTGGTTATTTTAAGAAAACAAGAGTGGTTGTGTGTTCAGAGATGTGTATGTGTACATGTGAAATCTTTGATGCAGGGAAGTGTAACAAGAATTAAAAACCCGGCAGCTTAAAATAACAATCCCTGCCTGGCAGCCATTGATGCACTTACAATCACTTTATTCACTTGTTGTTGTTGTTGTTGTTTTGCAGGATTTTGTTACAAGAGCAAAACTGGGAGTGCAGCACATGGTGCAGAAAGTGGGATTCTTTGGCATCTTGGCTTGTGCCTCAGTGAGTAGGAGGTTTTCAGGCCTTTTTAAAATTATTTTATTATCTTTTTTAACTTTTAAACTGATTGTTTGTTTGTTACGAACAAATTAATGTTCGTGCCCAGACGACGAATCACTACGATCTAATGTGCCCATTTTCAGATTCCTAATCCTCTCTTCGACCTGGCTGGAATAACCTGCGGCCATTTCCTGGTTCCTTTCTGGACCTTCTTTGGAGCAACTCTGATTGGGAAAGCCATCATCAAGATGCACATACAGGTCAGCAGCACAGTGGAAGCATTGATCAGAGGTGGTTTAAACCTTGCAGAGAGACGGTTTACCTCAAACAGCAGCATGTTTTTTCCTTTTTTTAACATAAGCCCCACAGGCCCACGTACTTGCAGCATCTTGCCTTCAAATATGATTCATCTTTTGTTTCATGTCGTCGCGCTTCTCTGTCCGCAGTGTAATAATGCATCTCAGAAATCCTCTCATAGGAAAAAAAAGGTTATCCACTGCTGAGTGATACCCTTTGAACAATCCCCACAAGCCTAAAACGTGTGGGAAAGATCAAGCCTCAGTGTTTAAATCATGAGGTGGTGACTATGAGAAAGTCCTAATTGGACACTTCTGGTTAACTGTTTCTGATGGCGCTCTTTTTTTTTTTTTTTTTTTTCTTTTTTTTTCCTTCGGGGATTCCTTATTCTGGTTTGAGCTTTCAGATGCATGCCACGCCACATAAACTTACTCCAGATGAAAGGAGGGAAGCTTTTAAGAAGCATTTAACAAGAGTTTGGATTTTTAAAAATGCACTAGATCCAAAAAAAACAAAAAACACAACTTAATTACGGAGGGTATTGTTGAGTCTACCATACTAGTGACTAATGTAAGCTCAGACTGCAAGGGGCTGTCTGCGTCTGAGGCACACTGTTGAGTGTTTCAACAAACTAAAGCCTATCAATCTCTTGGTGGTACCAGCCAATGATCTCACTATGAGACCTTTCAGACAAAGAGGACTTGAGGCAGTGGGGGTAATGAAGGATGTAGAGTGGATGTGAGGGAAGAGAAGGAAATTGAGCAGACTGTAAGAGGCTACAGGGGGGAGAGTCTTTTGTCTTTTCTTTTTTTCCCTCCCCCCAATTCTGTACCTTGAACCTCATGGACGTTGGATGCCATATCCTGTCTGATTTTGTCCAGGGGGCCATGTGTCATGCCGTTTTAGAGCTGATCAGTTTCAGGACCAGGGGGAGAAGGGAAAAAAGTGAGTTTTTTGTTGTTTTTTCAGAACCCCCACCCCTCCACTTGGGTGCTTTGAAAACCACACAAAACCCCTCACACAGACCAAAATTTAGGTTACCGCCAGGTTTGAGTTTCATAATTAGGGTGTCTGTGAACAATGTCAGATGTGGCCTCAATTTCTCAGAGTTGTGTCATTAAAATTAAGAATCTAAACGCTTCTTTCTGCCAAATTTTTGTTTTTGTTTTTTTTATAAAAAAAAAAAGGTGCATTTTAAGGAACAAAATGCTACACATTTTAGGAGACTTTATGAATAAAGTTGAGAATTTAAAAAAAAAAATTCTGTTTTATCAGCTGTCCTGAATTTCAAAGCAAAGTCATCAATGTTTTTATTTCTGTTTTTTGTTCCTCAGAAACTTTTCGTTATCATCACCTTTAGCAAGCACATAGTGGAGCAAATGGTGTCACTCATCGGGTAAGTTTTTTTTCAATTGTTTTATTATGTCCTGTACTGATGTGCGTGTGTGTGAGAAAGCCTGCTTTAATTAGAAACTTGGTGGAGTCATTGTCTTTCGTTGGTTTTGTGGTTGGCAGCACATTTGTAAACTTTTTCAGATGCGTTATGAACACTGATTGGGGATCCTGTATGAATAAATGCTCTTGCTGCGGGGGCGTATTGTATGTGCACGCATTTTCCTTCTTTTCTTTTTGATTCACCCCCACCACCACACACACACACCAAGGTATTTCTCCCCCCACGTGCAATCCATCTCTGCTAGAGCATTGGTGGTCAGGCGTGTGAGGTCCCATCCAAACATGCTCATCTGACTCACTGAGTTGAGCTGTGATTGAGAGAAGAGGCGGTTAGAGGTTGTAGAAGAAGCTTTTTTGAAAGTAATAAGACTTTAATAAATGTATGTATGTAGGTCATGGCTCTGGATTCATCTGTTTCAGTTTTCTTTGAAGATGCTGAGTTTTAAATTTAATTTCGTTTTGTTTTTTAATAATGTGGAGGGAATTTGTCAGGCACGGGATGTCAGAAGAGACAAACTTCTTTTTTTTTTAAGGCAATTTATTCACAGTCCTTGTAAACGTCTCAAATCTTAAGCAAATTCAAAGAAATAAAGAAAAAAAATCCCCCTAATAGTCTGTCTGTGGTGTAGTGGTTACCACTTGCAAATAAAATGCATCCGGTTTGAGATAAGGAGGAAACAGGAATTCAGTCTCATGGGTCACATTCAAAGTGCTGGTTCCTAAAAATGAGGAGAGCTCAGTCAGGAAACGGCATCAAGCATAAAACCTGCACTAAATCAACATGTGGATCTATTCACTGTGTCGATCCCCTCGGGAAATAGGGGAGCTGCTGAAAGTACCTATGAAAGCCCCCAATGCTTGTTCTATTGAAGTACATTTATATACGTGTGTGTACATATGTATTATAGGGCTGCTATGATTAGTCAACTAGTCACGATTATGTCGACTATCAAAATCATCGACAACTAATTAACAATTTTTGTTTGAAGCTTTGTAAGATCCTGAAAGATGCAGGAATAAGTTGTAGGATTTAAGAATGTAATAACGGACTGAAATGGAAGATGGTAGCAATGCATCTACAAGGATGCCAGCTGCCGTTAAACGCCGAAGAAGAAGAAGAAGAAGAAGCAGTCTCCGGTATCGTAGCTGTGTCCAGATTCAGGGGCCGCATCCTTCGGAGGCCGCATTTGTAGGTCGATTATGTCACAGCGATGCGATGAAGGCTGTCCAAATTACAAGACTCCGACAAATGCAGCCAACAAATGCGTCCTCCTTTTCCCCAGATTTGAAAGATGGGTCGGGTGTATGCTTCGTGGCCAGACCCATTCGATTTTTTAAAAAAAAGACAAAAACTGAGACATACTTTTCTTATATTACGATATCTCAGCGATTAAATGTGTGATTTAACTTTTTCACACTGACAGAGAAGATTTCCCGCTGCTCCAGCCCACCTAAGGTCAAAGTTGGCTGCAGGCGGCCCACACCTTTAGCTAGTTTTAAAATCGGTATCCTCCTTCATAGGAACTTCTTTTTGACTTTACCAAAAACACTATCTGATTTAAAATGAAATTCAAGGTTCTTTCCCACGGTGCTGCTGCTGTAAAGATGACTCTCGGTGACTCGCTATGATGTGTGCAGATAGTTTTTCCTTGCTGATACAGGATGTTTCTTTTCCAGTTTGTGTGAATTCATGTGTGCTTACATGTAAAGTCAAAGCGATAACAAGAATGAATCACACAAAACTAGTTAGGTTTAAGTGACATCAGCAATTACCCAGTCCCCATTTATGTGTGTGTGTGTGTGTGTGTGTGTGTGTGTGTGTTATCGCTCATGTTTTTGCTTAGTCTAGTCAGGTCTAGACAACATGTTTATGTCCTGTCCAGGGCCAGAATTGAATTCATGCGGTGGGAAGGCTGTGAGTACAGCCTGCAGTATATTTTTCTTTTCATGGTAATGATAAGTTTGAGGTCATGTAGCGATTCTTCTTCAAACTGTACTGCTGCTGACCCAGTGGTAAAACTACAGTACCAGTACCTGTCTATGACATGAATTGTTAAAATTTTATTAATAATGACTACCACCCCCACCCCCCCAGTGAGCTAATTCACTACCTAATAAGGGCATTAGCACGCCCTCATTAGATGTCTTTCCATCCAGAAGGCAGCAATGTTGGTAAAGGTGATGACATCATGTCGACTCACTTCCTCAGTGAAGGGGCTGACACAGACTCCTATAGAGAGCTAAAGGGTATAAAAGGAGGGTTGAGGAGTTTCTGCTTCATTCCTCTCTGCTGCCTGCTCCTGCTCACAGTAACAATTAGAGGAGGTGGCAGCTCCAAGATAGGGCCCACATGTAGGATGGGGCCTTCAGCAGTTGTTGCCTGGCCTGAATGCTGTTTGACTGGATCAGCGAGGACCTTCTTCTTTCTTTTTCTTTTTTCTCTAAAGTATTGTTCAGGGAAAGGGAAGACTTGAATAGCTTAGTGTGCAGGATCTGAAGTTTTGGTTTCCATGTCTAAGAAGGCTGCTTAAAGGGTAAGTAACTAAATGGTTCTCTCTCTCTCTCTCTCTCTTCTTTGTTCTTTTTATCTGTTGCTGCTTTGTGGGTATGCCATGTCAGGTCGGTGCCCAAACTAGGGCCATCTCTCCAGAAGCCCTTCAGGCAGTACCTGGAAGCACAAAGGAACAAGCTGCACCATGCTGGAGGAAGTGCACCAGCGGTAAGAAGATTTAGACTTTACCATACATTATTTTTGGTCTATTAGCTTTATATGTATATTTATTAAAGGGCAGCCACTAAGTGAATGAGATTTTATTTTATTTTTTTTTTTTGGCAAGGTTTAATATAATCTGTAAAATTAAAAGCTGTAGTATCTACCTAACTACCTTTGAATCCATGCACTAGAGACTCGGAAGCATAGCAAAAGTGTTGATGCAAATTCAGATATATATATCTATATATATCTATATCTCAATAAGTGTAATTAATTAATAACTGTATAAAATGTGTCAGTGCCCTCTGGTGGACAAACTGTGCATAGCAGTCTCTTAATTATTAGCATATCCTTCAGTTGTAAATGGCTGGTTTTATCAGTCTAGCTGATATTCACTGTTTGCTTGTACGAGGGTAAAAAAAAAATAAAGCATATCCACCCTAATTTGGGGTTTTTCAGGATGAGAACTGGCTGTCGTGGGTGTTTGAGAAGGTGGTGCTGGTCATGGTCTGCTACTTTGTCATTTCCATCGTGAACTCCATGGCTCAGAGCTACGCCAAGAGGCTGCAGCAGCTGAGGCACTCGGAGGAGAAAACCAAGTGATGGCGAAATAAAGCGGTACAAACATCCAAGCGACTGTGTTTGTGCTGCCGCTGAGAGCTCCACTTTCGGCCACAGCCACTCACAACTTAACCTCACCCTCATCCATTCTCAAAGAGGCTGAACGATCAAGAAACCAGGCATAATTTGTCGGTGTGTGCGTATGCATGATTTTTTTTAAAAAAATTTTTTTTGAGGATGTATGTGCCGTTTACTGTCTCCTTGTTCAGGTTTTTGTAGTTCTTCTTCATCTCACTCTTTAGGTGTGTCTAGCGCGATTGGTTCTACTGCTGATCTTAACAAGTTACTTTAAATTAACCCATTCATTGACCTCAGAAGTAAAGCAGCGGTTTGGTGGTTGCTGCTGTGTAAGGGCAGTGCCCATCAGATGCTATGCCTTATGCAAGACGGGAAGGCGTGACCTCCCTTGAATATAGCTCTTGACTTATAGACTTGATTTTTATTTAATTTTGTAACCTTTGTGTATGGATGGATCTTGATTTGTCTGTACAGTGTGCTGCCAAGATAACTGCTGTGGATGGTGTTTCTTTTCAGGGTTTCATTGACCTCATGGTTTTTGTCCTGTAAGACCAATTTTGTCTTTTGTTTCTGGAATTGTCCATTTAAAAATGGCAGGAGGAGGGAGAAAAAAAGCAATATCAACTTCAGATGATGTGGTATTGATGTTTTGCACATTGTGTAAATATCTTACTATCTTTTTGACGGTATGTTCAGATGTATTTCTATTCTATGGTCTGTGTGAACATGAGTCAATTTGAACCAAAACCCACAAGAGAAGGCGATATCATTTGTAAAGTGACGATGTACCCTCAGCTAACTAGTACAATTTCTATTCTGTACATTTGACTTGAACCTGGGATCAGATCATACATAAAACATGGAAATCGTGGCACTTCTTCTCCAGACTGAGTCTCTCATTTGTTTGGATTCTCCTGAAATGTTCATCCATGGAGGCTTTTTTTCCCCCTCCGTGTAATACCGTTAGGTTTAAGACCCAACACAAAAGATTTGATTTGTAATAGTCTCTTTGAAACGATCATCTTTAAGGTAAGTGTCATGTCAGCCCTAACACACTTATTTTGACTGCTTTTAGTACCAGACGCATGACATCCTTCATGGTAGGAGAAGAATTTGGTTTTTGATGTTGATTATTTCTCAGCTTGCCTGCCTTCCCGACTCTTAAACATACTCTGTAGATCCTGGCCGACTTCAGCTCATGGTTGAGACTCTCCAACCATGTGGTTTGGCATTCCTTCACACCACTCTTCCACACCATCAGCTAGCTTATCAGACTGGTGTTGGCTGTTGGATGTGCTTGGCAACAGCGGTCTGTAAGCTGGCTGAAGTTGTTGGTCTTCAGCATTTCTGGGTTCGTCTCGAGCACTGCAGCTACACGTTAGTGGGTCTGCGTGTGGACAACGCTGTTATCTAAAGAGACTCTTTGCTTTTATGTCACTCCACTTCTACTGTGTAAAACTCATAAACAATAAAGAGATGAAAAGTGATTCTTTTGCTACTTTTCTTTGTGCGATGCTGCCTTTTAAAATGATCACTGATTGCATTTCAACTGTAAACGTTTAAGCTGATCTCAGCTTGGGACATTTTACTGCTTAATGCATATTTAAGCTGCTGTAGCCAATACAGTTTATTTACATAGAAAAACTTAACATGATGCATTCTTAAAAAGGGAAGAAGAAATATACACACTCGCTTATGTTTTCAGTAGCTATGGTTGATTAAGTAACACATGACTTTATTTTGTTGCAAGGGAAATGTCTTTGTTACAGCAGCAGGATTATGAATAAAAAGAGTAAAATCTACAATAAAAACTGCACAAGTACTGCAGGCCCAGGTGAAAGCCTAATAAGGTGAGGTAGTGCAAAAAGTTAATGTACAACTGATTAAATGGAAAAAAAATTGGAGTTAAAGAAACATAAGACATTCTGCAAAAGAATAGTGGGAATAGCATTAATTTAAAAAAGAAAAAAAAGTATGTAGATTAAATGTAAGAAACTGACAGGTGTGTTCAGCGGTCATAAAAAGAAGAGCTACGGTAGAGTTTCTTAGAGAACAAGAGAAATTAGTTCCTGAGGCGTTCTTTATGGCAGCGTGGTTGAATGAGGCTGCAGCAGAATGAGCTCAGTAGTGTGGAGTGGAGCAGGTAACATGGATTGTCCCTGATGGAGAGCAGTTTGTTCAGTGACCTGCCCCTCACTGACTCAAATGCTTCCAGATTCTAGCCATTGAGGTTTCCACCCTTGTGGATTCCTGACCTGACCAAACACCAGCAACGTGCCATTTACATTGCTGCTGACTGAATGACTGGCAGATCTCCAGGATCTGTGCAAATCCCTCAGCGAGGATTTCACAAGGTGATCTTTTGATATACTTTTTACCCGTCAGCCTTTGTAGCCACCCAGTCAGACAGGTGGCGTGGACGCCCAGGTTTGTGAATGCAATAACTCAAGAACAAGGTGACGAACATCGATACCATTGGTGTATCTATTAAAAATGTCAAACCAGTTTGAATCGCAGTGACCTTGACCTTAAGGTCACAGGTCAAATTTTCTCAAATCTGGGATTTTCAAATTGATACCATTGGTGCATCTACTAGGAAGCTGATAGGTAGGTCTGGTGGTGCGATTGCAAATTTGGGGTAACAAGTGTCTGGCATAGATCTACACAGTTTTTACTAATGTCGCATTTTATTACCCATCTTATAACTTGACACTATACTACTTGAGATGCAAGTATTATAAAGTAGCATTATATCTTGAATAGAGACATCCAGTGTCTCAGTTCTCGCCAGTGCAGATGTCAGAGTCCAGGAATTCAAAGAATTATGTGAAATCAAAGCAACAATATAAAAAAATGTATACAAAACACATAAGGTGATATTTTCTTATCTACATGAAAGCCACAGTAGTCCCCAGTGCTAGCACAGCTGACTGTAGCTGGAGATCACCTGTTCAAGAGATGTGAAGCTGTCTAGGAAGTCCTCCTCTGAGATGCCAAATTTAATGTACTGATGGATGTACGCCCTGTAACAGGAAAAGTGAAAGAAAAGAATTTTTAAAAAGAGAAACTGTCTGCTCAGTTATACTTCTGGGACCAGCTTTTCCTTACTGTGCATGTACAGGGACTGACCCACCTGGAGGCAAACATATTCCAGGCTTTTCCCACCATGTCATCCAAAGGTCTGAGCAGAGCCTGGCTGTTACTGACCAGCGTGGCAGATTTCTCATACTTATTAAAGGGTACAGGGGATTTCCACAAGCTGAAAGCTTCTTTGGATGAGAGCCAGGAGGTGTACAGGGCTGGATCATCAATGCCACCTAAGCACATAAGCACATGATTCACATCCCCTGCTCTGTACAATCTGCAGACTTACATTATTACAAAAGAATTGCTCTAATCAATCTTTTGGAAACATCATCCCCTACATGACTGTCATAAATTTATCTGGTAAACTCACACAATCACCTGCCTTTTTCCCCTTTTAATTAAATTAAATCAATGTTTCATCCACCCATCTGACCTGTCTCTGCACTGTAGACATCTTTCCCTCTCAGGATGAGAAGGTTGGCCAGAGAGGTGTTAAAGCTGCCCCCTGTGAGACTCCTGCTCCGCCCAGAGTCAGCAGGAGGACGCACCTGCCAGTCTATACCTGTCACACGACAAACAAAGATCCTCTCACTATCACTTCCAACAATATCTCATTGACATAACAGGCTACACGGTTATGTTAGTGTGCACTTGCCTTCTTCCATCTTTGTGTTGGAGATGAGCATCTGTCGCAGGTGTTTGAGCAGCCCCGGCCAGCTAAACGTACTGTAGGCTATGGAGGAACTGGCCATCTGTGGGATGGTGCACAAGCTCAGTAGCTTGTACTCTGGATGACAGGCAAGAGCACTCACCAATTCACCTGACAAAAAAAGGCTGTATTGTGAGAAAGGCAAACTCTGTGGGAACCTTTAGTCATTTGTTTCAACTGCTTTTTTCCCCCAGAGAATATGATCATACATTTTTAATGACCCAACAATTGTTTGAACTGATGATCCTGGAACTTGCAGTTGTTTAGAAATGGCTCTCAGAGACTTTCCCAACTCGTGCAAATCTGCAGATGTTCTTAGATCTTCGCTGAGTTCATTGGACTTTCCCAGTGTTCTGAGTATTGGTCAATCCACTGAGGGCTATGAAACACATCCTTGTCATGCTGCCAAAGAAAAACTACCAGATGTACTCAATCATGACCACTAACAAGGAGTGAATTGGTCTCGGCAAGTTAAAAGACATTGCAGATCCTTCTGCAACACTTATTAAAATATTTAAATGAATGTATGTATACATATGAACCTGTATGTATACTTCTGACCCTGTGTGGAATACGGAAAATCCAAAATAAATTCAAACTTGTGCACCAAACTCTTGTTTTTTTAATATCATTTAAGATGTATGCTGTACAAAGGTTCCATCTGGAAAAACAGCAGCTCAAAAAATTAACATGACATTCAAGCCCACCATGAGTGTGTAAACTTCTGTCCACGACTGCAGGTGTGAGTAGTGTTTGTCCTTTCTCACCCAGAGGATTTCTGCTGTATGCTCCATGGGAGTCAGCGGTGAGCGTGGGCTGCAGGATACTGCCCAGCTGGTGGGCGATGACCCTGTTGACGTCACTGAAAGAGATGTGTTTGATATTAAGAAGCCGACTGCAGATCCTGTGCACCGTGTCGTTCTCGTGCACCAGTATGGCGTCTGACAATTGGTAGAGATGAGCCAGCGTCAGCACAGAGTTATAGTTCTGGACGATCACCTGAAAGTAAACAGTCAGAAGGTAGCACGATTCTCTCTTACACCATGTTAAAGATAGTTCAGCGTCCACACCTCTCCAGTCCCGTACGGCCAGGTAAGGTGGTTGAGGATAAAGGATGATGGATAAATATCACGGAGACACTGAGTAACGTAGGTGCCGACACCTGACCCCGTCCCCCCTGCCACACTCATCATTGCTATAAGCCCAGCCAGTCTGTCACAGCGCTCCACCTCCCGCCTCACCAGCTCCTCCACTGCGTCTCTGTGACAAGGACCATGGACACAATACCTAGATCAGTAAAAGAAACAGGTGATCAGCGTGAATGCTATCAAATGACAGCATTCCAGAATAGGTGGGCTCATACTGTCCCATCCTTACCCATTAGCCCAGTTGTTTCCGGAGCCCTGCTTCTGACTGAAGTGAGAACTCGCTCCATAGCTCCACCTGCCAGACTTTGCAGCCATGCTCATACTCCGGTTGATTACTTTAGGCTCCATATCTACCAACAGCGCCCTGGCAACGAGGTCTGGTGTAGGAAAAAACACGGCAGGAAACATGAGTGCGGAAGACGGGACTCGGACTTTGTTTAGTACTATTAGAGAGGCGTCGTACCTCCCTGTGCGGTCTGGTGAAAGAACCGCTCGCAGCTGGCAGCGCTGTACGTCTTCCTCTGTCCCTCCTGAGCATCGCTACAAATGATGTCAAACAGCTCCTGACCCACCTGGTTACCGCACTGACCGAGCTGAACTGTTACTACAGACATGTTCCACCCAGATGACTCAGTACCGGTCACAGAGCGATGGCACCCACGCTGTGACACACCCGCGACCTCGAGCTGATGGAGCAACGCCTCATAACTTCGGGGCTGTCTATACCTTCTCTGGTACGTTGGTGTTACAGCGCTCGCGAAGCCGCCACAAAAAGTTGAACAGGCATTTCCGGTCGAAACCGGCAAAAGTTTCAAAATAAAACTTAATCTAAAGCTTGTTCTGTAAAGTCGACACAAAAAGGTTCAGACCTTTCTCATAGTGCATGTGTAAGGTTTGTGCATGTGTATTTTTATTTCCAAAGAAAT